CAGAAAGTAAAATTCCAGTTCAGACAAGTGTGATATGTAGTTGAAAAGGATCAAATAAAGAGTAATATCGAGTTTTTATCAATTTTTTTGACGAACCGCTCCGTACTTTTTCCGTTGCCCAGACTTTCACCTTTGCAAAATCACTCAATAATTGAAACTCAAGCTCGGACAATTGACGAAATGGAAGAGGGTCATACGTCAAAAAAAATTTAAAAAAATTAATAGATAAACAGATACATGTTTTCAGGGTTGAGGAGAGCACGTGGGTCCATCGTGCATTTAACAATCGCGATCGCGAGCTTTTCGCGGTGTCAGAAGGTGCCACTTTATTTTTGGCAATGGACGGGAGAAATGGACGATAATTAAATCCCTGAAACATCCACACAATGGAAAATAAAAATAGAATTTTAATCATGCACTAAATATTTTCCCTTCGGATCAAATGAATGTTAAGGCAGCTTTCAAAAACTGCTCTGTCACTTGTTTTCAGGGTAACTTTCCCATCAAAAGCATGGAAAGACGGCTATGCGTGTTTTATGCGACGCGTATCTTGTCAACGAAAAAGCGGTACTCAGCAGTTATCGAGATCAGGCCCAAACAGGTAAACTCGTAATTGCCAGAAAAGGTTACATGGAAACTGAAAGTATTCGCCCCGTGGTTCGCGCAAGCGAGTGACAGATCTCTTGCGCGCGCGTTTTCACGATCAAAGATGTGCCAGAGAGAATGTCGTTACTCATTTGCAGCGCTAGCATTAGACACAAAATTTACGTACTTCCTACGGTAGTCCTTGCTGGAGCGTGACCACTGACTGCCTGTCCATTCTCAGAGAGAGTAGAACCGGTTAGGCCATAGGCAAATTTGTCAGATCTCAAAACTGTTTAAGAGGCGGGGGTAGGGTTTGTCATAAAAGATGTGTAGTCATAATGTCTCGGTTAATGTATTGTAAGGGTTTGGGAAGGTAATTATCAAGCATTGATCAAACTTTCGAACCATCGCTATCCTTACATAGACCGCATGATGAAATACTTGATTAACAATAAAAAAGCAATTGATCATGCAGAATGAAGATTGCGGAACTATATCAACTTTATCGATCAGTAAGAGTAAAATGCCTTAACATTGCTGTGGATCAGTTATCCAGTCTGTTGATAGTTCGATACCAAATACATCACTGGTATCCATAACAATGAATCGAATAAACAGCGTAGCGATATGGCATCAGTAGCACTTTCATTTGCGCGACGAAGTGAAACATTTAATATGACGTTTAGTTTGTTTACTTACAGTGTGAAATTTTAAAGACGGCAAGTTTTCATCGAAATTCATTCACTTTACAGAAATAAACACCTCACTGTGGGCTGAATCACAAGCAGCGTAATGACGGAGTTAATATCTCATTTAAAACATAAACTGTTGGAAGGCAAGAATGAAAGAAGTAACCGGTAGCGACAACCACTTTCGCTGCTTCCTTTCGATTAGATTTCTGATCGAGGTTTTCGCTATTCTTCGATATGAACAGTAAGAAAAATTCTGGAACGAACATCAACTAAGTTATGCTTATATTTACCTGGGAAAAGTCGTCTTCCACAACGGTGTATGAGTAAACAATTCATCTCCTTAACCCCTCAGATTCAACAACATCAACATAGTGTCTTCCGCCCCGCAATATCAAGACACTCCGAGGAAGACTGGTAACGAAAGGCTGTATCGGTCCATCAGGAAAGTTTGATGAAGCACTCAACTCTTACAGACCATTTCTAACATTTATGAGCGTAAAAATAGAAGGATTTGAGATATCAGTGCGCAGCTCTGTGATAACGGCCCTGATATTCTTATCGAAAGGATATCACCTCAGTCCTAGACTCGTTAGAAGTTTGTAATTACATTTATTTAGTTAGTGCATGCTGTTGGTCAAGAACACTAACGACGTAAACTTAAAACCCTGCAAATATTTTCCCGTGAGCCTTATAGCTTTGGAATTTCCTTTTCTTCTTTTCACTGATATATTATGTAGTCGGCATTTGTCATGCTAGAGAAATATATGTATATTTATATAAACGAAAGAAACCTCAGCTAAGTATTGAATCTTCGATGAGACTTTTCGGTATATGCAAGTAAATTTCTGAAATTGTTGTGATATTGAAAGTAATTAATCTTCGTATGTCTAATTTCATTTTTATGCTCCAGGTCTGATATCCGGCCCATGTAAAGGCACAAAGGCCCTTACAGGCCTCTCTACGTTGCATTGGGGATCTAGAACATGGGAGTTGAGCTTCGCAAAAGCTTGAGAGGAAGACGAATGGCAAAACTGCTAATAACATTATCATTAACTCGCTATTAAGGTTCCAAGGGGTATGACATTGACGGTAGTTTTTATGTCAGGATTATTTTTATGCAGGTTTCATGCCGATGCTATTCGGGTTATCCTGCTGGGTGGACGACTTCTTATCAAATTGTTTTATTACGGACAAGTAACTAGTTAACCGATATTTTTAAAATTTGCATTTTACGAGCGTTTTTCATCGTATGTTGTCAAAAGATTTCCTCGACCACTTTATCGTTGCGTTGTATTGCGTTTGGCGGAAACAGGAGGGAAAAATCATTAAATGAGGCAAAAAAATGTTGCCATTGTAACCACATATATAAATAGGGAGTCTTAAGTTAAAAAAGGCTGATTAGTTCAAAAAAGAAACTTCTAACAAAACCATCAATATACGAGTCTTATAGTTCAGTGTATTAGATCAGGTAATTCAGAGCAAAGAATATCAATGTTGTTAAAAAAGAGCAAATTATCTTGCCGAAATTAAAATCTTACTGTACATTTCACAAGAAAGGCTTCAAGAAACATTCCGTCCATAGGCTTCGTTTTATGGACAACTGGGTTTATGATGTCTACGTTTCGGATTGTTTGGGAAACAGAAGTAAGACTCCTGCAATTTTAAAGAATTGAAGTGCGTGATCAATAAAAGTGTTTAGATGAGAGTTTATGTTTACAGTCTAAACACGGTTGTGTTGTTATATTCACGTGTGTATTGTTAAGAAATATACTTTACAAAAGCAATAGAGGACGTTTTCCTAGGTTTCCACAAGTTCATCGAAACCGGCCAGGGTGAGCGATCGTGCATTGAGAGAGTACTCCAAAGTTCTGCATTTCCGGCTTAAATAACTCCTTTATGGTGGCTAAAACACTAAAAAATCCGTATCGCTGACAGACAATGAGGTTCAAACTTTTCTAGGAGGGGAAGAAAACCAATACACTAAAAGAAAAACCGAAAGTTGCATATTCAGTGGCTTTGGTGTCAGCATTTCTCTCGGCTGAGAATGAAAATCGACAACTGGAAGATTTGCCACTGGCCGATTTTGGCCGTTTACCTGAAAGACTTCTTCTGTCGGAGAAAGTCAATATATGAGAATTTTGTAAATTGAAAATTACGACCATTGTTGTTTTTGAAATCATGATTCATTGCATTTTTCCATCTTAAGAGTCAGCGCCAACGCACTCTACGATTGTTATTCGAGGATTGTTGATTCACTTATTTTCATTCATTAATGAAGTCGGCTTTTCTTCCTAGTAAAGGGCTATTGTGTTTATATGATAAACAAAATAAAACATGGTTGCTTGTAAATATGGAATTTCTCTTCTCGTGCTCAACTCGAAGAGAAATTCCATATCTACGCGCGCCCATGTATTATTCTCTATTTATCGTGCTCCCAACCCCCCACCCCATGTATTATTCTCTATTTATCATGCTCCCCCCACCCCATTCTAGAGAAAGTCAGGCAATATAATCATAATTCCTCACTTGAATTGCCTCATCATATATATATTTCCATACGTTTAAAATACAACCTTCAAAAGTTTGGATTCGTTTATGTAAATTATGTAAATGAACACAAAAACTCCGGGACAAAATCGTCTCAAACGAAACAAAGACTGTAGGAGCCAAAAACACCTTCAAGCACTACGCTTTGAATATCGCGTACTGTCTTTGGATTTTATATGATCTGGGATCTGCAATATGGTTAGGCGATACGCCCCAGTCTCCGAATCGAGTTCTGGCTGAACGTAGACGAGTAGACTCATATAAGAGTTGCAATTGACTAACGATAGAAACGGTAGAAACATCTAAACGACTAGAATGAAAAGCAATGCATTTTGTCGCTTTTAGAAAACTCAATAGCGATACAAGTGCAACAATTAGTGAGCTTCCATTCAGTTTACTTTCTCTCTGAGTGAAAAAAAAAATAATCGAGGATGATGACTGAGATACCCTAACCAGCAACTGCACAGATAACTAAGAGGGAAATTAGATAGAATGGGGAACACTCGATAGGGTCTCAAAAATAAACACATAACTGCAGCTGCTTGCCATCAGAGGTATAAGAACCACCACTTTGAATGTAGTCGATAACCAAATTATAAATATTGGTGGGTTTTATTGCTACAGGGAAAGGCAGAACGTCGAGTTTTCAAATGGCAAGTATCAAAAATCGGAATCATCATGAGGAGAGAAGACTACCTTTATCAACCGGAGTTGGAGTTAAATTAAATACAAATGCAGCGGTAGATCAAAAGAAATAAACGTCGCCGTGTTATTTTATTTTCTAAAGTTTTGTCGGCTGGATCATTTTTCCCGTTTAATATTATATATTCGTAGGTACTAAGCAACAGCTTTTAAAAAATTAAACTCTATGATCAAGGATATAGCTCATCTCTGATAGTATTTTGCAGTTTGACCACGATAGAGTAACGGACTTGGTCCAAATTAACGCAAATCAGGTGTATGCTTCCATACAAAATTCGGTTCAGCTGCACTCAAATTAACATACCCTAATTACTTCCTTTATGATCCCGCCTGTGAGATAATAACGAGCTTAAGATCCGACGACGGCAGACATCTGGGACGGCAAGCGGAAGTGAAGTTACCGCCAGAATTACTTCCGGCTGCCGTTGTTGTGAGGTTTCCCGCCGTAGCGGCCTCGTCTGTGACGTGAAGGAGGCCATTTTGCCGTCGCGGCTAAAACGTGAGTAAACTTTTGCAAAATAACGCCGTTTGAACTTACTTTGAGCGAAAATTGTTGGCAATTTTGACCGTTTATTGTTATGAGAGGATGTCTGTGAAGTAGCCAAGCAAAAATAAACTATTTGTTCGAGGAAATTTTAACTTTATTCGTTTGCCTTTCTCATAAACAGTTCGTTACTAGTACTGGCTCAATGTCAACAAAGAAAGCAACCCAGTAAGTTTAATAATTTCTTTATTTCAATTAAAAATTCGTAGACTTCTTCGTGCATAAATTGATGGCCATGATATTATTCCATTTGTCTTTTCTCGAGTTCAACAACAAGGATCATCTGAGAACGTTTTTATAATCAACAGTTTCGGTGATGTTTTTTCAGCCGTAAAGAAACGTCCTAGATTAAGCGTGAAAAATTTGCTGTCGGAAATGGTTAAACATTTATCATAATGATAAGTTTATACCTGTATTATGCTGCTTTGCATAAATGTCCATGTTGTGATTCAAATTTTTCCAGTGTCAATTTAAAAAGTTTTAAACCATTTTTCATTCTTTATTCTGTTTTTATTGTTATTATCCTTTTTCTCGCATCTATTACCATAACCTGAGACAAAGGGAAACAAAAACTTAACGTGGTTTGAGCATTTTTAAACCCGCAAACAAAAATTTTAACCACAACACACATAAACAAGACTGCTCTGATTTACTTTGGAGAGTTCTTGACTGAACTAAGCAGTTGGAATTGAAGCTTAGTTAGCAGACTCACCAGGATTTTTAAATATCCATATTATATTTTCTTAAAATGTAGATCTAACATGGAATGGACAGATGATCATGACCACTCTCTCTGTCAAGAAATTCTGGCTCTAGAACCCTTTAAAGCTAAAAAGGGAAGTATCGCAAGAGGGCAGATCTGGGAAAAAATTGCCAGTAATCTCAACTCCCTGAAAATTCCAAGATTTAAAGTTAACAAGCGCTCAGTGAGAGAGCGTTACACACTACTCATTGAAAAATTAAAGAAAAAGTTACAAGAAGAGAAAAAGGCTAGTGGCATTGAGACTGACATGAATGATGTTGAGAAAGCTTTGGAGGAAATACTGGAAAAGGAGGCTGATGCTGAAAATAGTCTGGAAGTTGACAAGAAAAAAGAGGATAGTGCCAAAGCTGTCGAGATGCGGAATAGAGCAATGGAGAGCATGCGTTCAACACAGAAAAGGAAGGATGGTGATGAAGTCGAGGATGTAGAGAATGCACAACCTAAGCGAAAAGTCACAAGGAGGAGTGGTGGGGACACAGTGGCGTATCTGCGTGAGAAGAATGATATGGTTCAGAAATGGAAAGCTGAAGAGTTGGAATTGCACATGCAGCGCCTGGACATAGAGAGAAGAAAGCAAGATGAGTCTCAAAAGCAACATCAAGAAATGATGCAAATGATGGCCCAGCAAGTCCAGCAGCAACAGAATCAAATGCAACAGTTTCAGCAGATGTTTGTTGCCATGCAACAACAGCAGTCACAAATCATTTTGAGACTTTTAGAAAAGCATTGAGTAACTGAATGCGTTAAATGCTGTTGTTTTGTTCAAATTTTATGGCCTTTTGACTACGTTTTTATATGATTAGAGAGGATTGATATGGGGGTGGGGGGAGGGTCTGTTGCAGTTTTGGAACATTCTCTGTGCATATTTTGGGAAGCTCCCCATTCTCCTCTGCTCTCACCCTGGTGTTATTATACCTTGTACCCTCTGAAATGGATTCTGAACCCTTCTTACATTAATTATAGTTGTTGTTATACATCAGTTGACCTGACTAAAAATACTAAAGAATAAATACCAAAACTTTAAACAGTAGTTTGTTGGCAGGTTGCAGACATACACTGTTACATCTTATTGACTAGTTGTGTATTTCACATGAATTTATCATTGAAATTCATTTCAGGGTACAAATAGTTTTAATTGTTAGGAAAAATAATCCTGAAGGGTTGGTGGGTCAATGTCAAAGAAATTTGATGTGAAATTGCCATACAAACAAGTCATGGCATTCCTTAAAATTGCACATACAATATACATCTTTCCTAACGCACTCAATGATATCTTTTGAGTTTTCTTAAAATCAACAAATTTAAAATAGTTAACAATATCCCCAAAAAGCCACTCTACTGAAATGCGGACACTGCTCATCGACTTGTTAAACTCTTCCATCTGAGGAGTGATACCTGCTGTACGATATGGCACAACAAGGTGAACTCTTAATGGGTAAGCAGGGTCACCATATAAGGCCATGGGGTTACCAGTCGGCGAAAAAGCATGGTGTTCAAGGACTTGCAGAAGGCCAGAATCAGCTAACATTCCAGCATCATGTTTGCGGCCCTCTGGAAGAAAATGCACATTTTGATTGAAAATTGTGTTCTGTAATTTTTAAAAAATGTATATTTTATTTATACTACTTGAAATGTTTCACGCTAAAAACTGCTTTCACCTATTTATCATTCTGTTTGGATTTACCGCGTGACAGATGGTTCTAATGTGACTAAAACCAGGAGCCCATTACTTGGGCTCCAGCTAAAACTTGAAAGGAATAATTCCCATTACCTACTGGCCCATACATGTTGGCTATCATACCACAGGGCAATGCAACAGATTGGTATTTCAATCCGTGGACTCTTTTGTGTCCGTTGTACACAATTCCTTGGTTTTCTTGTGGTCGGCAAATGGGTCTTACTGTACCATCTATGAAGCCAAAGCAATTCGGCAGGGGACTTCCTTTCCTTTGTATGGCATCAGCATATCTCTGAAGTAGAGGGGGGCTCATTAAGGTGTGGTTCCATGCTGTCAGACGGTGATGATGTAAGCTGTACACAGTTTCCATTACATAATTAGTGATCATACAAATTTCTGGTACTGGGCGGCCAAAACGATGGATAAGGTCACTGTACCTACAAGGGTACGCCAATCTTCTTAACAAAAGACAAAGGCCTTCAATTCCATCGCATACAGTCCCTTGTTCGCATCGATACGAATCAGGCAGCCCCATTACGTCTGCGAGAATTGGTATGTCCCTTTTTCGGAAACGAAATTCTGCCAAGCACTCACTTTCACCGAGTCCTTCCAGGTCAAAATCTTCGTAATTCTGGTAAGGATAATCGAGATTCTTTGAAATGTTGGCATCATACAACAGTAAAAATTCATCTTCTGAAATGTCACCATCATCGAAACTTGCGATCAACAATTCACGAGCCTTTCTAAAGGTAGCCATCGCTTTTCCTAAACTTCGAAGAGGAAAGCCACTACAGCCGCCGTCGCGCGCGCTATCTTAAGGCTATTTTTCGCGCCATTGGAACGGCGACCTTTCCCCAAGCCCCCTCGACCAAGTCTGCCGTCCTAGGTGTCTGCCGTCGTCGGATCTTAAGCTCGTTAGTGAACGTGAGGCTGTCAATAAATGTCTTATTCATGAGAATATTTTTAACTTAAGATATGAGATTACAACTGTATTAGTTTCAAAAAATTACACCGTCGAATTTATGACGGCACTCTAGAAGTTCTGTTCAGTAGGTTTGCTTTACTTATGACCTACCTTGCAAGAAAATAAAGTCTTTAATTAAGAAATTACTACATTAACATGATAAAGTTGGTGATTAAGTTTTGACTGTAAGAAAACCTTTACGGGCCTGTTGACTAATTATTTTAGCTTTATACCTTATCCCTACAAACTGGGTCTCATTCGCACTCTTGTTGATAAAGCCTACAAGATCAACAACACATGGTTGGGTTTCCACGAAGAGATCTAGAAACTCACTGAAATCCTTAAAAAGAATTTTTTTCCAGCCAATCTGGTTCAAGGGTTGTTAATCGGTACCTCACGCTCACCGTGATGAGTGCGATCCCCCGGTCTCCGTTTCAGACACTACTACAAACTTTTATTTTAAATTACCTTACATTGGCTCTTTTTCTTTTGTCACGCAAAAAAGGGTTCGCCAATTTGCTAAGTGTTATTGTAACAACATCGATGTAAAGTTAGCTTTTTCATCTTTTAAAATAGGCGATATGTTTGGGGTGAAAGACCCTATCCCTCGTGGGCTCCGTACGTGTGTGGTTTACAAGTTTTTATGTCAGGGCTCTAACGCCTGCTATGTCAGCGAAACCCCTCGACATTTATCCACACGCGTACAAGAGCACTTGATAGGACCTCTCACATTTTCAGACATTTACATGATTCTCCACAATGTCGCACTCTTTGTTCTGATGAGTGTCTTAACACCTTAGATCACGCTGCCACAACTTTTCAACTTAAAATCAAAGAAAAAATGATCACCAAATGAAAAATCGACTCAAGAAGTTTTTTAAGGAAAAAAAGAAAATATTGTGAACCGAAATTAAAAGAATTTAAAATATACCTCGTATTTCAATTTTGAAATGTTTTCTAAGCCAGTTAAATTTCCTTCTTTAGTGATATAACTTCTCCTATAAACACCAAAAGCTTTCAAAACTGCATTCAAGGTTTCTAGAAACTATTCATCTTCATTTATTTGATATTCAGATATTGATTCTCCAGAAGAAGCTGTTTTGCCGGCGATTTGGGTTCACATAGATACGGAACTTTCTTTGAATTAACGACGTACAGGTGTAGTGTAGCTTACTTGTTGTTCCTGTTCAGTTGCAGTCAAACCGTCGTACGACATCTATAAATATCATATGTAAAACATTTTGAAAGCTAATTTCGAGTCTTGATAGTGGTGTGTTTATTCTCTATCTCTATTCCTTGGCTTGTTGTTTTCTTATTCATTCTGAAAACCGCCTTTGGTCAAATTTTTAGAGGATCGAGGTACTTCGTTATTAGTGAGGTATGTAAGTAAAATTTAATTCGTTTACAAACTCTAGTTTTGGGGAGAGGAGGTAAAGCGAGTTAAAATGGGTGGAGAGAAGTTATGGAAAATCCTCTGTAAGCCTGTGGAAAATTTTAGAATTTTGGTTTTTTTTCCTTCTTTTAATGCTTATGAAACGGTTGAGGATTTTGAGACCTTGCGAAAAGCTTGTTCCTTCGTTACACGTTCGTGACGAGACGATGAAAAGATCTTCCTGTTTCATTACCGAGTACAACATTTATCATGTTGAAGAGAGGACTTGATCCCCTCTTGCCATCTTTGTTATCGTATTACAGCATGTGGAAAAGTTTTTAGAATGTTAGATTGTTTCTTTTGATGCCTATAAATGATGATGCTTACCTCCCTTACTTCTGCTTCAATGACATAATTTTTCCCGTAAAAACCAAAAGGTTTCAAACCATCATTCAAGGATTTTAGAAACTATTTATTTCCACTCGTTTGATGTGCTTATGTTGATTCTCTATATTCAGCTGTTTTGTAGTTGGATTTACGACGATACAGGACTTTAAACACACTAAAAATCGCGAAGTTCAGGCGGATACTTTTATCTGTAATGCCTGTTTAGCTGCTCTAAAAACGTCGTTTTCCTTTTAGCTATTATCTGTCAATCATTCGGAAAAACTAAATTGAAGTTCTAAAAGTGATAAGTTTAGTCAGCATTGCACTCTTCCTCAGCATGCTGCTTTCTTTTCCATTTGAAAACCGCCCTTTCTGCATTTGACTTAAAATCCATTCGTTAAAGGATAGAAACACTTTCGCTATCAGTGAGGCACGTTCAAAATATTCTTAAGATTGGTTTGCAAATTCTACCTTCGGTGAGATGAGGAAAACTGAATCAATATGGATGGAAATTTGACTCTAACTTATTTTTAAGAGGATACGACGTACTTCATTATCAGTGAGGTATGTTCATAAGATTTCATTCGTTTACAAACTCTAACATCGGTGAGATGAGGTAAAACCAGGTAAATGGGTGGAGAGAAGTTATGGAAAATCCTTTGTCAGTCTGTGGAAAATTTTAGAATTTTAGTTTTTTTCCTTCTTTAAATGCTTATGAAACAGTTGATGAATTTGAGACCTCTTGTGAGAAGCCTGTTGCTTCTCAGCATTCGTTACACGTTCGTGACGAGACGATGAAAAGCTCTTTGTTGGTTTCATGAGTACAACATTTACCATGTTAAGGAGAGGACTTGTTCCTCTCTTGCCATCTTTGTTATCATATTTACGCACATCGACAATCTTTTACAAGTATGTGGAACATTTTAGCTTGTTTCTAATGATGCTTATAAAACGATTAAGGCAACTGAGATCTATTGTATAAAGGCTTTTGCTTACTCAGAGTATTTCAAAAGAATGTTGTATTGTTGAAAAAAGGAGAAATTTTTTCCAAAAATAGAGGGAGACTGAATTATCAAACTTTGAGATATGTATTGCACCAAAAAATAGGAACATGAAATTGAGTCAAAGCACAAAAGAAAGGTAGCAAATATAATTCTGTTGCTATGGTAATTCGGAAAAACTGATAAGTTTAGTCAGCATTGTACTCTTCCTCAGCATGCTGCTTTCTTTTCTATTTGAAAACCGCCCTTTCTGCATTTGACTTAAACTCAATTCGTTGAAGGATAGAAACACTTTCGTTATCAGTGAGGCAAGTTCAAAATATTCTTAAGATTCGTTTGCAAATTCTGCCTTCGATGTGATGAGGAAAACTGAATCAATATGGACGGAAATATGTCATTGATAATCTTAATAATCGTAACGCGACGAAAATGATCTCTTTCTCTAGTTTGTTGCCTATGATATTGACAAAGGAAGAAATTTATCGGAAGCGAGAATAGACAATGATTAAACTTTCTGGGTGTAGAAAATAAAATATAAGAGATGTTTTTCCTTTTAAAAATGTTATTAATATTTCAACCCATCTAAAGTTAATTGGTCTTTGAAATTTTCAAGGCGGTAACAACAACAACCATATTTCTAAAAGCGGCACCGAGAAGAGGAGCAGGTCTTTCTA